CAAGAAAGAAGAGGCTCAATTGATCATCAAACCTGTCATTGAACAGTTTATTTCTGAACTGACAATGAAGACGACGAAAACGAAAAGAACATGTAGACAAAAACATTGAGAAAACATTGAGAAAAATAAAAACAATAAAACAGAACAAAACAAAGGGCAAGAAAATTGGGAAGGAGAGGAAGGAAGGAAGAACAAATTAAACGCGAAGAAAGAAAACTTTAATGGTTAGCGGATTTGGTTAAAGTGATAGGCATTAAATTACAGGACTTTTGCCGATTGTATTCGATGATCAAAAGGGGAGGAAGATGATCATCAAAAAACAACAAAAAAAAGTGCCAAACTAGGGGAGAAACATTTTTTTACGATTGCTTATTGCCTTCCCTTTTTTAGGAGATTAAAAAGTCCTTTTTTTGATTTCTTTGATTTTCTTTTAACCGTATCGAATAAGAATCGTCATCAATTTATCTTCTTAGTTTTTTTTCTTTTTGTGTATTTGTATTTGTACAGTTTTTTTTCAAATATCATTGTTAGTATCATAAACCGATGGACAGCACCGGTCGTATGTTGATCCAACAACAACAGCAATAATATACATACAATATACAAAGCTGAAGGGCCATTCATTTTGTCCCTTCCCCTCTTCTCCTTAACCGACTATCGTTTGGATTCCTATTGTTTCATCCTATTCAACAAAATCTATGGTTATTGTTTTTTCTGTTGTTTTCTTTTAGTTGCTTGCTTACTTGGTGGGGGGTCCAAATTTTTTTAGAATTTCTTATATATGTATATTTGTAAACAAGAAAAAATAAACAACAATTCACCTATCTGTATATCTATATGCTATCAAATGTTATATACGGAAGCGAATGAATGCTTAAGCTTAATGCATTCAGCAGTTTAGTGGACGGGGAGGCACGTCAAAATGCAAATGTAAAATGTCAACTCAATATTTTTAATTCCGTCAATTAGATGGATATGCTGACCGATGGATACTCATTGTGCGTTACTGGACGACAAAAGAACAAAATTTGGGTTTTGTAACCGGTGGGAAGCGGTAAAAAAGAGGGACTGTTACTGAAAGATAAGGTGAGGAATGTATGAGGGACTTTAGACGCTACCACCAGTTGCAAAGACAGCCATCTGATGATAAACCGAAAACTGTCGAACTAGTTCAGACTGATGAGCTCCAGTCTTTTTGTCTCGTCTCTAACCCCTCATTCTATTTGCAGTGCCTTTAGTTCTCCAGACAGTCAACTGATTCAACGAAATTTGTGGGCAAATTAGCAGAAGCAATTAGTGGATAAAGCTTGAAATAAAGTGTTTACGATGGGAGAAAAGAATCAGTGTATTGCTTGTTTAAATGGATATTATTTTATTAATTGAGGATAATATAGATCAAGGATAATGCATTAGTTTTGAAAGCAAAAAATTTGAGTCTTTGCTGTTGATGTTAATTGCCTCTATATTTCAGCTGACAAGAAAAAGTAGAAACATTACAATTTTTCAATTTTTTTCTGTAGTACTGAACTTTTGATAGATCAGATGAGTAGGACACTTTTTTTTTGCATGTTATTATGCAAGAAAAAAAAAGGACTAGTAACAATTGGGTGATAATTAACTGTTGTGGCCTTTAGGATTTATTAACTGATTACGCCATCAACAGTATTTTTTTCATTGTTGTTGTAGTTAAGTTCCTGTGTTTACTATGCTATTCTCCTAAAATTATCTTCAGCAATTGTGTGATGATCAGTTAGTTGAGGAAATGATGAAATCGCTCTTTTTTTTTTTGCTATTGCATTTATACATCACATTTCGTTGACAACCTGTAACAATTCGATAAACCACTTAATATGAAAAAAAACTGCAAAAAAGTTGTTCTTGGTATCTGTAATCTGGTTTTGATGGATAATCAGATTGTTTTTTGATCATCAGTAGATAGTCGATAATGATAGTCGACAGCACTAATTAGCATTCATGAGTGTTTGGTGATGGAACAGTGGCAAGGATGATGAGCTAAATTGATGACAGAAGAGCAACAGGAGCAAAATCTAATTTGCATATTAGAAAAAACTACCTATTATACATTGACGTAATTTGAGCGTATGATTATAGTTTCTTATCAAAAGAAAAAACTTTTTTTTTTTTGTTCTAAATTGGTATTTTTACAAGGTATGATGTTTGAAAGGAATGCATAGAGCGACAGCAAAGTAAGTATTTAAAAAATGAGATGAAGAACGAAAATACTGGTATTTGCTGATTTTAGTTAACCGTGATATTAAAGTAATTGTTGGGGTAGTAAAACCGGTATACATGAAACTGTTACTTTGAAGTGGTCCGTTATTTCAAAAAGGCGAAATATTTTTGGCATTCATAAGAGCAGAGACAAGCTGATTGTAATATACTTCTACCAGTCATCAAAAAAAAAAAAGAAACATTATATCAGATTTATGGATTAGAAAAATTTTGCTGCTTATTGGTAATGATGATGAATAAATTTCAGCTGTCAACTGTTGAGGTATCACCAAAACAGAACGACTGTACACCATACCGATCATCAGTTGCTGGCGATATTAAGTTGTTGATCACATCTCCACCAGAGGTATTGTTCGTTTTTTTTTTTCCTTTGCTCTATAAAGCTTTTTTTTTTGTATTTTCCTAAGCTTTAATCTTTACTTTTCTCAATCTTCTCAGCAAATTAGAGCGGCATTTTACAAGGAATAAAGAAGAGGAAGGGAGAAAGAAGCAAATGAAAGGGAAAAGGAAAAGCGAGCTAAAATTATACCATTTAATTGTTTTAAATAGTACATTGTTCTGCATATATTTCCGGATCATTTCACTGATTGGTTTTATTTAGTGGCTTCAATTTCGGCTTTTTTAGTTTTGTTCACACAAAATAATGGAAGGAAAAAATTATCTGAAAAACAAAAAAAAAAAAAATACTATAGCAACAGTATATTTTTAATGCATCACTGATTTTCTATTGTTATCATTTTTTTTCCTCTTTTTTACTTTCACCTTCCCCTCTTCCTCGTTCTCCTGTCCCTTGACATTAACAGTTATTTTTTGACTGTATAATTCTTTTTGATGTTTTCGAGTTTTTAGTTCAATTAAAAAAATTAGTGTAGAAGCAAAGGAAAAAAAAGACAAAAGAAAAAGTAAAGGTTAATTGTTTTTTACTGTTGTTTATCGTCTTATGGGAGAACAGAAAAAGAACAAAAAAAAAAAAGGAAAAAAAAAAACAACAGCAATAGCAGCATCAACAGCAGTAGCAAAAAAAAGAAAAAGAAAGGAAAGCCTACTACTGCCCGATAATTAATTTTAGATCAAAGAAACTCCGAAACGACCACTGCGGAAAGAACGAACTTCACAAGCTTTACATTTTGATGAGAGACTGTAAGTAGAATCTTTTTTCATTTTTCAGATTCTCTACTTTTTAAAGAAAATTGAACTTGTTTTTTCTCATTACCCCTTTCCTACTTTTATCAGATTATTATTTTTGTAGTTTTTTGTTTATTTGTATCCTTTTCGGATTAAATACTTTGGAAAAAGCAAAGTCAAAAAGAAAAAAAAACAGTGACAGCTTTTCTGCCACAGTGATTCCTTCTTTCTCATTTTTTTTTTTTTTTTGTTTGCTTTAAACCAAATGTTCGTTGTCATTCTATTGTCATTGTATCTTCCATTGAAGATCCTATTGCTGTTTCTCCATTTTCTTCCTCCTTGTTTTTTTTTTTTTTTCTAACTGCTTTTCAAGTGAGGAAGAAGAAGACCAAAGATGAAAAAATAAAAAAAAAAAAAGGAAAACAAGATGTGGGAAACAAAAAATATGACGAGGTCAACAGTAATAACCACCTTTTTTTTATTTCCGTCAGCGCACAGATACTGTTTTGTGATAGGAAACCCGGAGTATAATTATTGTCAAAAAATATATAACAGATGGTTTTTTCAACTGCAGTTTTTTTTTTTTTTTTTTTT